GCTTGCCCACCAATGAGTCCACCAGTGAGTTGTAAAATGGGGATGGTTTACCTTTTCTTGATGTCCTAGTTAGTAAAGAGGGGACCAGATTAGGTAGAGATGTGTATAGAAAACTTTTACTTCTGAATTTCTGTTCCAACCACTCTTGTGGGGTTAAAGTAGGAGTTATGAAGTCTATGATAATAAGGAGCCTGCGTTTGGCAGATGTTAAGCATCGGAACCAAGAATTGAGAATAGTAAGAAGAATTCTGGTTTAGAAAAACTATCCACAAGATTTGGTTGACAATTATTTTAGAATATTGTCAAATAGGATAGAGGGAAATACACATTTGTGGCCAAATAAAAAGTTAGACCCCTCTACCAGAATCTTTTAGCTGCCATCATATAATCTGTCGAAGAAGATAGGCGAATAACTGAGGTGGGATATTAGGACGACTTCTAAAGAGAAAATAACACTTTCTTCAGTATTGCCTTGTTTTCGAGAATAATTTTACCCTCTCTCCAGATCGGGTTGTTACAAGATTTTGTGTTTATGCGGTATAGCAATGTGGGAAAGGCATGTAGGCATATATATAAGAGGTTATCCTAACACAAAATAGCCTGCAAGGGTATGTGGGTCCAAAAATTAGAATTTGCCGAATGCATTGCTCGCACATGACGCCAGATAGATTGGCCTAATGCCAAAATGCTTGGCTAGGTATGGGAACTATACCAACCAGTAAGCGAAATATTAAGCAGGCGATATAAATCAGCAAAACAGCTAACACCTTGAGTAGAAGGAATAAGTGTATGAAGTTAAGCGAAAACTACTTGTGGCTGTTGGATAGGTTTAGAGAGAGAGGAGGGGGAAAAAAAAGGGTCATACTGAAGACAATCTTTTTAGAGGAAAAGACCCAGAGTCAAGTGAACTTAACAATATAAACCGAGTGCCTATGGTTCTCTGAAGGGTCGATGGAAGACACAAAGTTTTCTCACTCATAAGCACGTAAAATTGGGTTGGTATAGAAAAGCCATGTTCTAAACCTAATCAGCTAGAATAAATATCACAATTATACAGGAATATTTATGATAAGAAATATATACAGAGTCGGCATAGTCCAGTTGTTCTATTCAGTCCACTTGTGTAAACACTCCACATTTGTGCAGACGTAATATAGGCGCATATTCTCTTCGGCTCGAAGAGTCTGAGACTGAAAGAACACAGCCTCCGGATTTCCACATTTTCTGCATATATGATCATCGGTTCTTGGTAGAGTTGGGTCATGTACAACATCCGGCACGATTAAAGCCAATTCGCTATGATGAAAAGTGAATATAAAAGCCATTAGCACAGCAATTTATAAGACTAAAATTATGACACTGAAAGCAAAGGAGAGCAAATGAAGCCTTTTGATAAAGTGAACTCTGTCAAATCCCGTTTTATCATATGAGTAACTATACTGTTTCTTAGCGTAGCTGATGTAAGCAAAATGTAAGAATAGAAGAGGCCTTTGAGCATTATGTAAAATCTGAATTAATACAATATATACGCAAAAACCAGCTTAGCTCTGTAAAAAAATACCTGGTTAAGACACCGTAGAGTCAATAAATAATGCATCTCTCTCCTATAAACTGACTATATTTTGTGTTAAAATGTAAAAAATTTTTTTTGTAGGAACTCGTTTGGGGTTCAATTGAAGATGACTCGTATGTGGTTCTAAAACGAACAAGAGGATTAGGTGAGCGGTCTTATCGAGATGTTAAGGTGTTCATTTGACTGACCTAAGTTGTTGAAGCCGAATGAAATATACTTGTATAATTTTGACTTCAAATGAATGGGCTCAATTACTTATTACGATGCAATGATGCCCATTATGATCAGAAAAGAGAGGCTGATATTTATGGATTAAAATAAATCGCAAGCGAGGGACGAAATGCATAAAAAAGTCGCGTGGCGTAATTGAAACGCCATGGATGGGAGGAGAAAATCTACAAAGTAATAGAACAGACAAACTACTTCAAAGGGAAAATCTAGAACCGCGTGTATAGAGTATGCAAACATCGGATTGGCTCCTGAATATTTTTGAATAAATGCTTGACTTGACGTGATCATTCAGTTAGATACGATATGAAAGTTCGTTTGTCAAAGTCGTAGTAAATAAGTCATGATAAAAGCAGTCTTTTTTTATTATGTAGGAAAATTTTGACAGTTGCTAAGAAAATAGTCGAGGTAAAAGTATATTATTATTATAGACGATCTAATTGGCACCTTGTTCGGAAATTAAGTGATTAGGACACATTATTTTATAGTTGACAGGATCAATGACACTTAACTTTTGAGCCTATAAATATAAATATGAAAGGCTAATTTGAATCCGGAACCTTAAATTTAACTATAGCACTAAAAATTAAGTATCTGAAGGAAATATAGGAGTTACTAGACCCCCCAAGTAGGGACAAAAATATGAATTTATTTTAAGCGCACACAAGATAATATCTTCAGATAGAAAAATAAGTGAAAAAAAAGAAAGAGGAGATACGCGTGAATGCCTATAACTATCGTGAAAATAATTGCTTAAGGACAATAAGTCAGAAAATGGCGCAGCCGAGGCAGTTTGAATAAATTTATGAAGATAAACAAGCAATTGCTTAGTGAGTTCAGTGTCATTACTATTAATATAAAGAGAATAAAACCATATTTAAAACGGAGACATACTAGATTCGCATATTTTGTGATTAGATTTTATTAATGAATAGGAGCTTAGATGTATAAAACCGTTTAGACTCCATTATAATCACTTATATATTAAAATGTCTTACCTGGAAAGGTGAACTCAGTTGTCTATAAATAATGTCGAAGTGAGCCTTAGGTAGTACGCACTAAAGGTTAAATTTTATTACTTAAAGTCCTCGAGGCAACTTCTTTCAGTCCAGGCTAAAACTTGCCAAGTTTACGGCTCACATCAGAGCTGGGTACCACTTACAAACTAAATCGACCTAACGATGCAATAATATATGTAGGGATGTCATCATATAGAAACAGAAAGCTAATTTTTACAAGAAACATGGGAGTCATCCTAGGGACTGCGTAAAGACAACGTACTAGCAAAACAATACAAGTCGCCTTAGCGTGAGATTGAAACGAAAACGGAAGCCATCCCAACAATGTATACTCTCCGTAGTTTTAGCTAATAAAAGGTGCTCTAATAAAATACATTAAATGCCTTTTTTGCTATACATAATCCAAAAGTAAATGAAAAAGGTGGTTAGATCACAGGATTATAGTTTCATAGATTAAATAACAATGATAACTAGATTTTAGCACCCTGTCGAGCACGGATTAAGCTATACCTGATGCAGGCAGCCATAAAAAATCTACATTTTTTTAGGCAGAATAAGTTTAAAAAGCTGATTTCTCACAAAACAATATTGGCCTCGATTTCAACAAATAAATTATAAACTTCATCATTCATCCATAAGCCCTATACATAACATAAAATATCGATTTAATTTGAATATGGTTATATCAAAAACATACATGGACTTACTCAACTTCTTGCTCTAGTCTGTTGACATAAACACAAGGGTTGTCGGCTTCTTGACTAAAATCGCAATTCCTACATGAGTAAAGTAGCTTTTTAATATTTCTATCTTCTTTTGGGTACAACATGTTGTTACATTCATTGCAAAACAATATACCAACATGGCACTTTTGCCTTCTTGTTTCGTACTGAACAGACGATTAGGAGAGAATAAGAACTGACCTCTTCCATGCTATTGAAGAACGCGGTCAACAGCTAAGTAATACTGTAATAAAAGTATATATAAAGTGTGCATATTTATTAAAATAAAATATAAAATATAAAATAAATCTGAAACAGCGTTTGCTTGGATGGGCGCTCAAAGTCACGTTGCGCATGAGAACGTTAAACATTAACGTTGGCCTCCTCGGCCACGTTGATTCAGGGAAAACGAGTCTTTCTAAGGCACTTAGTACTGTTGCGAGCACAAACGCATTTGATAAGAATCCACAGAGCAAAAAAAGAGGCATAACATTAGATTTAGGTTTTTCGTCATTTGTTTCTTGTGTACCCGACCGCTTCCAGCGTCATGGAATTAAATATGACCAACTCCAGTTTACGCTGGTGGATTGTCCTGGTCATGCTTCGCTTATTCGCACTATTATTTGTGGTAACTTGGATCGTGTATAATCTGCTTTAAGGCTCACAGATAATTGATTTGATGTTGCTTGTGGTGGACATCACCAAGGGTTTTCAGACTCAAACGTCCGAATGCCTTGTTATTGGAGAGATTTCATGCGACCACTTGATTATCGTGCTAAACAAAGTGGATCTTTTGGATC